TTGAATTTCGACATTCAAATGAGTTTTCTTATTATACTTTTTTATGTTTTTAAAATTGTTAATTATTGTAATTTATAATACTATTTTACATCATTTTTGAATATGTCAATTATGTTTTTAAAATTTTAAAGATTTTATATATGAATTCACGATAAAAATAAAAAGTTTAATTCAAGTTATAAACATGAATTGAACAAAATTAAATGTGTGTGTATATTAATGTTGTAAATATTTTTGGATGAGTCATCAAACATGTAATATACGTACATGAAAAGCATAAAGATTTTTTTTTATATTGATGTAATTTAACGTATTATAACAAGTTAATTATTATTTTAATTTATTTATTGTAAATAGTTAATAATAATAATAACCTGATAAATAAATTTGATTGTGTAAATAATTTTAAAATCTTATTAATACATAATAAAATAATAATATGAAGTAAACTCCATTTATTGTTGTTGTTCTACTTTTTCTTTAGGATAATTTCATGTATAAGGAGGTTATTTCATGGCATTGAGTATTTATTATTGATGGAAATAATTGTCTTAATTTTGTAGTACTTTGAATTTTAGTTTGTCTATTTCAAGGCATAATACATATATTGGATCCTAAACTTGGTTTCAAATTTTAGCTTTGACCTCAAACTTTCAAAGTGCACAAACAGACACTTTAACTATCCAACTTTTAAATAAATAAACACACGATTTTTACTACCAAACAGCGTGAAATGCAAACGCTCCAACGTGTATTAGTGAGCCACTCAATGGCTGCCAACTAATTAAATATTTTACACGTCATTTTAGAACTAAAAATATCAAAATTAATTCCTCCTAATGGTTTTTAGAGCTTGGAGCTCATTGTTTGACGAAGCTTAGAGGTTTGTTGATGACTGGCTTCTTGGTTTAGGTGTTTGTGGTTGTTAGGTCTGTTTTCATGGGGTTTGGGGGGTCATTTGGATTCTCACCGGAAATGGCGGATCTGATGGGTTTGGGGTCAGGTATTTGGTGGGTTTAGAGAGTTCGAAGCTCGTTCGCTTCATGGGTTGTGTTCCGGTGTGAGGAAGAAGGAGAATGGCTGGGTATTTGGTGGCATTTTGCCTGAAAAAGAAGAAAATGAACGGAGGTTTTGGGTTGCCGAAAATTGGCCGGAATCTGGGGATAGATTTGTCATTTCAGCATTTTTTTACTATTGTGGGACTCAAAAATTACTCCTAACTCGCGCAGAATACGTGCACATCACGCATTTTGCCAAGTAGGATTCGCGTGTTTATTTATTAAAAGGTTGGATAGTTAAAGTGTTTGTTTGTACACTATGAAAGTTGGATATCAAAATTAAAATTTGAAGCCAAGTTTAGGTCCTATTATGCCCTATTTCAAACATGGCATGTCTCATTGTTTAAGTGTTCCTATAGCATTAATTAGGAAATTATCCTTAATTGAAAATTTCTAGTTCGACTTTTATATACAACTTTTTGGTTAAAAAATATATAACTCTCATAGTTGTATATTTGATATTAATTTAGATAAGTTAATTGTGAGTTTCGAAAATTGAATGATTTTATGACTATGTAAATATAACCTTCATCGTATTTGTATCTAATATCATCTATTTTAATTTAGTCACCAAACTAAAGAAATGCTATATATTGTTGTCTATCTAACCGTTTAAGGTGTTTATATAAGCTTGAATTTACACGTAATTCATAGATTTTAAGAGAACAAATATAATTTTAATTGTGAAAATTTAATACAAACTTAATATTTTGTCTACAAATTAGTTGAATGTTCGATGTTATTGGACAACCGCAAATGGACAAGCAAAGAGCGGTAGTGATTGGTTAAACAAAACTCTAATAAAGTGATCCAGAGTTTTTTCTTTAATAGAACAAGATGTTCATACGACATTGCATTATACATAGATAGACCTCTTAACTTGATCTCAACGGTCAAATAAACATTTCAACTTTGAAAATACACCAACTTATCTGTGTTGTGTCAATTGTTCACTCTTAGCTTACAAAATGATCATCTTAAGTTCTTAACACATTCGAGATTTACATACCGCGTCAGCATCAGGTGACCACATGATAGATATGTTACTAGGAGCAACAACAACGACAGACTAACGATGATAAAAGAAATCGTTTCCGACATCAAAAAGTTGTTTAGCTCTTCCTTCGCAAGCAAATCCGCTACCCCATTCTGCTTCCGATAACTATGCTTGAGCCATGATGCAAGTACCAAGACACCTGATGGAAAACTAAAACAAAAAAGTGGTGTGATCTTTATGAATTGCATAGTAGCCTTTCGATATACTCCCTCTGTTACTAATTACTTGTTGACTTTTCTTTTTATAGTTGTTCCTAATTACTTGTCCATTTTGACAAATCAAGAAAGAATAAAAAAAAAATACCTATTATACCCTCAATTAATTACTTTGAAAAAGTAGAACTTTTTGAAAATCTTAAATTTTCAATTCATTTACTTCATAATTAATAGGGGTAAAATGGTAAACTCACTATGTCAATAATTGTTTTCTTAATAGGTGTGTTAATTCAAAAGTGGACAAGTAATTAGGGACAGAAGGAGTACCTACTATGTGTAAAATACATAGACAATGGACCAATTTCCTTGTAGTATTATTTCAACTTTACACTGCAATAGCATTAACGATTCAAATCTTTTTATTCTTAACTGATAGTTGCAAGTTTTGGATTTTATAAATAGAAAAACTTTTCATAAAATAGTTAATTTATTTAATGTGAATTTGAATTAATAATATTGGGATAGTTTCGTAATTCTGAAAGCATATAGTCGGTCAGTAATTTGTCTGAGACTAGCCGTACCGAATAGACAAGTATTTTAAAGGGAAATAAACGACTTAAATAGTTGTCTGTTAAAGAGAATTTAATTTTTTAAAATATTTTTAACTATTAATTATTTAAAAAAATTAATATATTTTTACGTAATTTTCAAATTTGTAAAATTGTACAATAAACATTCCTATTGCAATTTCATAAATAAGGTCTAGAGAGATGGTGTGTATCCCGACTTTACCCTAGTTTTAGCAGGTAAAAAAAAGAAACAAGTGACATACTATGTAACAATAAAATCAAGGAATAATATACTGATGAGTAAACTAGTTTAAGTTCACGTCCTCGGTAAATTACAGGTATGTCATGTCCTGTCTAATCACCTCTTTCAAATACTTTGTCGAACTTCTCACACCTCCTCACTAGTACAATACATCTTCTCTGCACATGAACTATCTGTCTCACTTCTCATGTCTTGTATATGACATATCGGTCACTCACATCATATCGCAAATATCATCATTCTTCAGACTTCTCACACCTCCTCACTAGTACAATACATCTTCTCTGCACATGTATGAACTGTCTGTCTCACTTCTCATGTCTTGTCTATGACATATCGATCACTCACATCATATCGCAAATATCATCATTCTTCGGACTTCTCACACCTCCTCACTAGTACAATACATCTTCTCTGCACATTTATGAACTGTCTGTCTCATGTCTTGTCTATGACATATCAAGTCACTCACATCATACCGCAAATATCATCATTCTTAATCTTATTTATCCCCATGCGCTTATACATTCATCTCAACATTTTCACTTTCACTATTTTTATCTTCATAATGTGTGAATTGCTCCATACAACATAGTTGGTCTAACAATCACCTAATAAAATTTACCTTTAAGTTTAGATGACACATTCTTATCATACAAGACAGTGAAGGCAGATATCTATTTCATCTATTCCTGCTGCAACGCGATATATAAATAATCTATCTCTCAATTTGTTTAAATTATAAACCCAAAAGTACTTAAATCTTTTATTCTCTTTAATTTGACTTGTGTTGACATCCACAACTATCTCATGAATTACATCACTAACCTTGCAACTATTATTATAATCAACATTCAACTATAATTTATTATACTAATAATTACAACATAACGACATACTGCCATTGGTTAAATAAGACATCATTTTCATTTGAACTTTGGGATAAGGATTTTAAATACAACAAATAAAATACTCAATAAATATAATTTGCATAACTTATTTTATCATAACTAATCTCATCATAACGTAAATTCAAACCAAACGAACTCCAAAAACTATACTTTTGCTATTTTAGAAATTTTAAACAACAAAAGCAGCAAAATCTTTGGGAAATCCATCTATAAATTCTACACAACCTCTAGCTAGGCAAGTACGAAACTCATTCATTCATACAGAAAACTGAACAAAAATGGGGTCTACATAGAAATAATTTCTTTCCTTTTTTGGGAAAGCATTATTATTTGGACCTGTTTCAACGTGTAGTGTTAAAATATTGCTAAAAAATCCTCGATTTAAATATAACAAATTCAAGTAAAAAAGGAAAAAAGCACTGTAGAAACTATAAAAAGAGAACAATAATAACAATAAGGGATAAGGGTCTGAAAAATACCCCAACTTTGGTCGGATTTGCTGTTGCAATACTAAACTTTCATGAGGACCTATTACCTCCCTAAACTATTTAATACCGTATTTTTTACCCCCTGAACTATTTAATAATGTATTTTAAAGGTATATATGTGCTCACGTGGACACATTACTATTTATAATTTTGCATTATTTTTTATGTCCACGTGGGCAGATATATATGTTTAAAATACGATATTAAATAGTCTAGGGTGGTAATAGGTCCTCATGAAAGTTTAGTATTGCAACAGCAAATCCGACCAAAGTTGGGGTATTTTTCAGACTCTTATCCCTTGAACTTTCGAGCAAATGTTTTTGCCTTAGAGCTTTGAAATTCATAAGAAATCTTAAAATACTTGCACCTACAAATAGAATAATAGCAAAAAGTATAGGAATTTAACCTTACTTCTGTGGATCACAGTATCATCACCTTGAATAAATGTCACTAGGGGCAACAACAATGAAAAGACTAATAAAGGGGGAAATGGCCAAATGTACGCTAAACTGATTTTTGAATTAATTTGATATACTAATATGCATCATAATAAAACATGGGTTCTTTCAAGCTTGTCTATCAATAACTTGCATTCAAATAAAATGGATGGATAGGTAATGTGATCTTGCCACCAAAGGTTGTGGTGGTCGGATAGGATGCATCCATCCTTAACTAGAAATCACGGGTTTAAACCCTAGGTACGAAATATCTCTACATGTATTATGTATATATCCTTACCTAAAACTTTCAGCAATCAATGAACTTTAGGAAAAGTAATATCAGCTTCAATTATGACTTTATCATCCACAAGAAAACCTTTTCCAGGATCATTTAATTCAGTAGGAGGCAAGAACGTTGTGAAACCCCAGTCACTCTCTTCTGCTGTAAAAAGGTGTTCAGTCACTGCCACAAGGAACATAGCATTAAACAAAAGAGTCAGCATTTATGCTAATCAAATCACAATACTATACAACATAAATAGAGTAAGCATATAAAATAAAAAATAAAAACTCAAGAAGCATAAAATCAGAACATCACTAGCTTATTTAAAACTGAATTCAGGATGTACTCAAGAGAAACAACAATCGAATAAAGACTCCTTTTAAAAAATCGACCACTCATGATTTTCTTCTCTCCTATAAGCTGAGTTCAAATCCATTCTCAGTTGGAGGTTGAGTTAGATGGACAAAGCTCTGCATTAATTTCATATTCAACCACATGAAACACCAGAGACGTAAAAGAAGGTCAAGTTCATTTCAGTTAAATTCTGACTACTATATTTTCAATTTGTTAGTTGGATGCAGATGGAGATGTAGATATCCTACATCAGACTACTATATACGAGAGACTGAGAGAATTCATGAAAATAGCATATATCCATCCATGTTGCCCGGACAAAGCAGGAAAACAACTTTTTTAAGTCTGAAGCCCAAACTGGCTATATCAGTGTATATATAGTGGGTAGTTCTAGGTCCTTAAACACCGGTGCAGATACAAGGACAATTTAGGCCTACCATTGCAGCAAACACAAGCCTTAGAGAAATATACTATCCCTCCTGCTACTTGTTGAGCCTTTGTGCTCTTTCTCATTTAACTGCTCAACTTTGACTTCAAATGTCGGTTAGAATTTAGTCAAGCTGTCTTATTCATTTGTGCTATAAAACTGAACATATTAAGGGTGTCATGCCTTTGAGCAGTTGGAAAATGATTTTGAACACTTGATGAATAGCCTCTAATTCTTAGTTAGCTTTTGGTGCACCCATAAAGTTCTTGTGTATAGAAGATTGGCTGACATTTCTAGGAACATACAATTCTTTAGGTTCTCTAATTATTGGTCTACACCTTGTAAACAGGAGTTTTTCCCACGTTAATAAATCATTTACCTTGTAAGGAAAAAATGACTAGTATAACAAGTCTTGATCAAAATCTGCACAGTGGCCGACAAGATTCATTTAATGAACAGATCTTTCCAGGATCAATTACATATGCCAGTATTAAAGAGACCTTTTAGAAAATACCACAGGTACAGAAAAAATTATAAAGGAAAACCCATACATCTATCAGCATAGCCAACAAATGAAACTCATGGAACATCAACATCACAATATTGAATCCTGTTGGCAGAAGCACAGAACATGCATATAATGAACATACATCATTGTTATACTTTCTTTTTTTTTTGGAAAGGAAATTGTATTATAAAAGCAGCACTAAGAGGGTGCTGAAGTAATTATAAGTGAGTAAACACAGCAAAAGATGGATCTCTTTCCAATCTTATATGAATTCTAAGAGGCTAGTATGGATTCTACATAATTAACAAATTCCTCCTTACATCAAAAAGAATACAAAAGTAAACAGTCAAACTTAATCTGTTGGAACATGTTGGCAATATTGCTTCCATTGATGCTGTAAATATATGTTGGGTCTAACTCAACCACAAAAGCTAACTCATGAAGGGAGGATTGCCCAAGTCCATTCCCCAGCTAATGTGGGACTTTGACCCACTCTAACAGTTGGAGTACTTCTTGACATTAAAAAGCCAAATGAAAACCTAGATCATTTGTTTTATAATAAAATGTCCAAACTATAATACTTCGATGGAAGTTCACTTATTAATTCATTCCTCAAGAAAGAAAATAAAATTCAAAGTACGCACAAAATACTACATGAAATACGTTTTCCAGGAAAATCTGAAGTTCAACGACTACTCTCCATAGCTGAATATGAGGAAAACTAGATAATATAACACAACAAAGCCTTGTTCAAATGGATTAAATATGCAGTTGATAGATAACCTATATATTTTCCCTCAGCATAAACTCATGCACAAAAATTCATATCTTTTATACAACAGATGAGATCTCTGACCTTTTCTCAGTGTGAACTTGCCATGAATTTGATTGACAACAGCTAAGCTAAATTTAGCATGTCTACTCCAACCAGTAGGCAACGTTGCGGCATCTGCCACATCTAAATACATAGATAAATAGTCTACGTTGTTTCCTTTTGGGAATATCAGTATCCTCCTGCAAGGCAGAATGCATCGTATAGTACATCATTATCATATCCGCATTAAATTTGTGAAGCAATCCACTGAAAATGGGATGTTGAAAATAATTACCATTTATATCCTCCTATATCAAACACATCAGAGTACTTCTTCACATTCAACCTTGAAAAGTTGTCAATAGTCCATGTGAACCGTGGAGATGCCACATCATCCACCACCTGAGTATCCACCGTACTTAATGTGTCCGCTGGTGCAACTTCCAAAAAATAAAGCATGCAAATTTTTTAAATGACTCAGGAAAAAATACAATATCAGTTAACAAAATCAATAACACAAGAATCCCAAACTTTTTGGGGTCGGTGAAATGAATCCTCTACATATTTTGCTCAATTTGGCTCCATTTCATTCTAATACTGATAAGTAATTAGTGATAAGTAACACATACTAAATTTCAATCAATGTAAAGATGTGATATCAAATAGGAGTAATAAAAATAGCGACTATACATACACTATTACTCTGAAAGAGTGTGTGTAAAAGTAGGTAAGATACCTTTGACCGGCTGAGGCTTCTTAGTAGGAAAATCGGAACTAGGAACAAGCATTTCGTGTTCTTTTGGCTGCGATAGAAGAAGCAAAGTAAGAAAACTCGAACCAACAAAGTTGAACAATTTTGAATAATCTTTCACACTTAAGAAAATCTAGGGAAAGTTTACACTGCAATAACAACATATTATTAAACTGCTACATATACATCCAAAAGATCGATTAGTTTTGGAAACTCCACCCAGCAAAGCACCTTTGAACAATAAACAGGCAAAACAGTGAAGAACTGCAAACAAGTGAATTCATAGAGCAACAGAATGCATCAAATTCAGCAACTATAAATTCCAAAAATATCACTAAATTTAGCACAACGCCACCAAATAAATCTTCATTAAACCAAAAAAAATATACGAGACACAGAAATAAACTGTAAAAACAAAGCAACATAGCTAAAAATTCAGTTACTATCATATATTTACTTTAGGTCAATTGACACAGCAATCACGGCGGAGTATATTCAGCACATACAAATAAATAAAAAGTCAATAGTTTCAAAATTGTACCAACTAAAGCTACTTTAAATTTAAAAAATAGGAATAAAGGCACAAGTACCCCCTAGACTATGACCGAAATTCCAGAGGCACCCCTTAACTAAACTACAGTCCTATTACCCCCAAACCCATTTTTTTTGTAATTTTGTACACCTTTTTGGCTTACATGGCATCCAAACATCTCCCACACGCCTTAACTATGTGGAGTTAAGGAGTGCGTTACGTAAGCCTAAAGGTTTGCAAAATTACAAAAAAAAATGAGTTTGGGATAGGACCTTAGTTTAGTTAATGCGTGTCTCTGGGATTTCGGTCATAGTCTAGGGGGTACTTGTGCCTTATCCCAAAAAAATAAAATACATGAAACAAAGAAAAATTGTAAAAGCAAAGTAAATTCAGAGGAAAAATTACAGAGATGGAAAGGAAGATTACATCTACTGAAGGGGGAGCGAGGAGATTAATAGACGGAGAACAGTGACTGTCAAGTCAGCGGCAACTATAAAATATTTGGTAATGAGAATTCAATGTATGTGAGAGAAAAATAAACATTCGGGATGATGGATCGAAGGGCATTGTTGAGTTCAAGTTCTTGCCTGACAAGGAAGAGGAAGATGTAGAGAAAGGAAAGAGGTATACAATAGGGATAGTTTCGAAATTTCCAGAGATAGTTGGTACTTTTTAGCTTAGCTAGAGATTTCTTGTTCGAGCTTTTCAAACTGAGAACCATTAGATAAAGAGTATTTTACTACTTTGGTGGGTCTACCAGGTGTGAATTCGAATTAGTCAAGTCTGTAAATTTCAAATACATGTCAGCATTTTTACATGTCTTTGAATCTGTCTCTTTCTCTTGACTGTGTTACTTGTTGAGTTCGGTTGTTTAGGTAAGTCAAAGTGAGCGAAATAGAGTACAGCAGGCGTACAGAAAAAAACTCTGAACTACTATTTGCGCTCACCTCACCGGAACCTCAACTTGTATTCACCTCTGCTACAGACCAACTATCTCACACTCTCTCTCTCTCAAACTCAGCCAAAGGAGCACATCTAGTTGAAAGACTCTCATTCTTATTTAGGATGGGAAGATCTTTCAGTTCGTAAAAGCTTAAGCTTCAATCTCAGAGAAATGAAATAAATTCTCAAAGATCCATAAACAAATCTGCAAAGTTGTCTATAAATGGAAGAAATCCACAGATATTTACAGTTACTCAGCGAGATCTCTCTTCATACCTTTCCACCAATAGTGTAGAGACATCATCAAAATCTATTGCATACTAAGAAATATTATAAGAGTGTACCACACGTACCTGGCGATTGTGCATGTACTCCAAAAATGAAGGAACCTCAGGAAAGCGATATCGTTCAGTGCATTGATTTTGAAGGGATTTCTGAAAGCAAATTATATCCCCATCTTCTAGCTGCAAAACCAGAGGAATATTGCAGAAAAAGGTTTCATTGGTAATAAATCCAGCAAAACAAACAAAAAGGAATTAAAAGAAATTGAATACACCACAAAATGCATACAAACCCAAAAGTGTCAACTGACAATTGGTTGGACATACCTGGCCCTCACAAAAACTCAACATACTGTCGATCTTTTCACACATCAAACTGGGTTCAAATTTTATTTCCTGTGAATAACAAAACCTGAGTAATCACATATCATATTTTAAGATTTAACTAATTGCTAGCAAGAGAAGAAGAAAAACAACCTCAAAGAGTTCAATTTCTTCATCAGGCGAAAAGCCAGCCAACTCCTTCAGCTTTGTTTTATCTCCAGCGGCTTGCCACTTCCTTTTACAAAAAGATGTCCAACATACCTGACACAAAAAAGGAATTAAGAAGAGAAAAACCAAAAAACCTCATCCACATCATGGCTTCTCATATATCCAGCCCCAAGCAGTTGGACTTTAACTGAACTTCCAAGTATCAAATGTATTAAATAGAGGATTAACCCTAATAATATGATGGCTCATCAAGTCCAAGGTTTTGACCAAGTCTTCTTCTATTATTTTTTGCCACGTTTTGTGTACACTCATGCTAACTACAGTACCATTCAATTCTCTACAATGTAGAATTAAAACCACTAGATCAAGTACAAGTCAAAGCACCTTTCCATGTAATTGTGTTTCCTCAAATTAAATAAATAAGGACTGAATTCAAACATGAAAGTATTTCAGCGATTGAGAAGCAAAATATAATACCTAATCGTCTCTTTCAGAGGGTCATAAAGTTTAAAAAATAGAAGAATTTCTTCCCTGGTCGTCTTCCCTGCTGGATGTAAAGGTCGCAAATCCTGCAAGAATACACAAATAAAAAATAAAATGTAAAATAAAGCATCACAAAGATAACATGCAACAAGTCAATCACCGAAAAGGAAGACAAGTAAGCAGGTGCTGCATTACCAGGCATAATTCTACTTCCAGAAAAAGTTTTAGCTCATCATTGTTCCATTTATTTGAAACCTCTCTCAGTTCACCAACCTGAAAGCAGATCATGCAAGATCATTAACACTGAGTTAATCAAGCACTTCCATCCTTTAACAGAATGTAGAAGCCATACACTACCGAAGAAAGAATGCAAGACAAAAAAGATCACAATACCAGTCACAATTGTCATGCTTCAAGAAAATCGGGCCTGAGGGGTCCCAATACCTCCAATTGGAAAACGTACCTGGAGAGTGGGCCGGAGGGAGTTGAACAGGAGAGGGGAGGGTGGGG